GGAATTTGGAGCGTCGACAGTATCGAAATTCGGCTTAAGGCGGCTGACGCTCAGGAAAAACGATGGAATCTCTCAAGGTCGGATTGGCTCCATGATCGCTTGTAGTCTGACTTCGCTTCCCGACTGTAGCACATAGGTATGTCCGACCGGACGCTCGTTCTATGGTGTCACTGTCGAGATCACGACTGACGAACAATCGTGCCCGATCATGATCGAGTCATTTGCACAGCAATTTGAAGTTACTCGCGAACGAAGCAATTTGAGATCTACCACACAAACCATGCGCCGAGCAACCGACCAGCCGACCGCCTGAACAAGCGGCGGCAGCACCGACCGCTATCGAATGATCGATTCTGTCTATCTGTTTGTCCTCTTTCCGATAGAGACCTCAATTGATTCTTGATAATGACAATGCTGGCGAGCGAACGACGGGATAATTCAGATTTTGGCGAACGGCAGGTCCACGGAATCGGAGGACCGAGCACGCGAGCCCTCTGAATAGGATCCCGATGCTTCTAAGGAGCGTCGAGCTTTCCTGCCGGAGCAGAGGAAAAATGGAGGGGTCTCGATCCCGTTCCCCGATTTCCTGAAAAAGATTCGAAACATACGCGAATCCATCGGCCTATCATGAGGGGAGATCTCATTGAGGAGGCGGGAGTCCTCGTATCTATATACAGAAGTAACGCAATCAGCCTTCAGGGGTACAAGATGCAGGCGTCAGCTGAACTTCGGGGTGGTTCTCGGCAGGCCACATCATTAGTACTCAAGACTTCACGCGTGCAGTCGTTGCCGCCGTCAGTTGAAACGAAGCGCCGCTCTTGCCGACCTGACCTGCTCGCTAGCCTCTCAATAGGAGGGTCTCGATTCAGACTTCATGGGAGAAAAAGAATGAAGAAGTTAATTATATGATTAACGGTCTTAATATCGACTGCCGACTTCAATCTGATGGAATCCGTCGAGAAATCGCTCCATTCGGAGGGATTCTTCACTCCCATGGTCTGAGGAATTCTCCGGCGATCGGATTCAATCAGAAAACTACAATTAACAGAAGATATGCTTGGGCCGGAGTACGGTTCTCGGCGCGACGAGTATCCATCGGTAATCGGGCCGGACTCGGCGAGAGCACCGAGAGAATCCTGAACAATTGTCCAGCAAACCCTGAATGTCCGAGATACGAGGCACTTGTCAAATGTCGTCTGTTCAACACACTCGTTGCGGCTGTCTGTCTGATCAAGCCGGCCGGCCTGCCGGCAGAGCGGCCAGTCAGGACTGTCTCTGACGCAGCCGGCTGCGGGATCTCGGTTGATTAGTTTTTTTCGGTCTGAACGGAGCAGGTACAGAGGACATGTAGCAGCAGCGGCACATCTGGTGTCGTTTCTGGAAGGACAACAACTATGGCCATTATTAGAGTAGAGAACGAGAACCGTAGAAGAGTCGTATCTTGTTTCAAGGGGCCGACCGCCCGGTTTCATCGAAGCAGGCACAAGGTCCATCCGCTGGCGCAGGGAACCAGCCCCCACGACTCGAACTGTACTACAAGGCTAATAGCTTGGATAAACTTTGAAACCTGAGCCTCCAATAGACACGACCGACCGCGACGTCTCGTCGTCTGCTCCCGAATCGAGCCGGGAGATTTTCTTCCTGAAATTCGATTATACACACCACCGGATAATTTTCTGTCCGCGCGGAAAATGAATCGAAGGGCTCTATATCTCAACGTCACGACTCTCCGGATGGCGTAAAGACGCCGGGCCGCTCGTGAGCGACAACGAATTCCGCTCGCTCGGAGTCACCTCGGCGTTGTTGACATCCCTTTGAACGATGCAATCGATGGTGAATCAGCTCGCGATGTTTGTGTGGGCAGCCAATCTCTAATCCCTTCGTGACCTTTCCCGTCCACTCGCTGGCCTGTCGTTCGTTTGTGCGTTCGAAAGAGTCGATTATTTCCGCGGAACTAATCACTATTAAAGTGTTTTCCGATAACAGTGAGCGGCCGGTCCCTTTCGAGTCTTCAGTCAGTCGGTGGCCTTCGAGCTCAGCTCCCATCGAGTCGCCCATTTGTCTCCCATTGGAGCTAGCTTTCCATCAGTTCTTGCTCCTCTCCCTCGACCGCTCTCGAACGAACTCGAGCTCGCTCTGCGCGGCGTTGCCACTCTAGTCGCCAGCGAGCGCTTCCTTCCAATCGGTTTCCCGATTCGAATGACTCGGTCGAGTCGAATTTCGTCCTAACGACATCTAAAGAGCGAATACCATCAGAAGAAGGAGCGCTCCGGGTGCAAAGAGAACCCGATTCTCGATTCGAATCGTCAAACGCACACGGGCGAGCGGTCCTCGAAGTCGAGAGAGTCGAGTGGTGACATCAGATACTCGACCATATGAAATCAAGTCTTTCCGACGCTGGCTTCTCAATAGGTAGGACGGAACGCCGCCGATTCTCGACGTCAGCGATGACGTGAATCGATAATCAGCAGAGGACAACTCGGACCGACCTTTCAAAATTTCGGAAGATGACCCCGCGCGGCTGAGCGTCATTCAAGGCTTCGAGCCGGTTTCAGTAGACTCGAAAAGCTTCCGACGTGCCTGGAAGCTCCCAACACTGAATAAAATCATCGGTCGCGACCACGTCTCTTCGGCTCTCCGTCTTGCCGAATGGTATTTGTTATTTCGTGTCGTCTCTCCGCCCGCCGAAGAGATATTGCCGCGATAAACAACAGCGGCTACCGTTTCGGCAACGGCCGACTCCTCTCGAGTCGCTGCGCGAAGCTCAATTTGAAGGAGAAACAACGGCGGAGACAGAACAAGAAAACCAAGACGATGAAGCAGAGAAGAAGGAAGGAAGAAAGAAATATCTAAACAACGACGGCATCCGAGCAGGCCGACAAGCGACCCTACGGAACGCCGGTTCCTTTGAAGGCGTCGGGAGGCACCTCACAGGGGAGCTACAGTTCTCGCTCCCGGCTACTTGACGAAACCCACTTCTGGCTCAAATTAGCGAACCCCGTTCAGCCGTACGGTTCGCGATCCGAAGCGCCGAATACGTTTCCTCTGTACCACAGTTGACGTATATTTCTCCGAGGGAATCGAGACGGGGAGAAGCCCTGCGAATGTTGGAGCCTCATGTGCCCGGTAACTTCGCGAGATCGTCTTCTGCAGTCGAAGCGGTCTTCTGCGACGAGTGTGATGAATCTCCGACCTGAACTCTAGATCGAATGGTCGGAGTTCGTATTGGAGAACGCATTGATTTGGGCGGATTCCGCGACTCAAGGCAAGCGTTTAACAGATTGGCTGGAAGACGTGGTGGTCCGGCGGTTCGTCCACGAGGCTTCATATCTCAATTAGGCCTCGAGCGGGAGGCACTGCGGTGCCTTTGAGTCGCTAGATGAGATCAAAAAAAAGGAGGGATGACCAGTGAAAGAGCCAACCGGCAGGCTGTTCAGTCTGGCGGCGCGGCCAAGCGAGTGAACCCTCGTTCGTTCTTTCTGTGTCCATCCATTGTTTCGAAGAGGTGCGCGTAGCTTTGAAGAGCGGCGCGTTCAATCTAGCGGGTTGGCTGGCTAGACTTCGTTAGGCGTGTAATGATGATCGCCACGACCACAACCTCTATCACCTCGACCAGTGCTACCATTGGTAGTCAATTGCACACAGCAAGAGCCCGAGCTCACTCGCACGTCGGAACGCGGAAGCCTCGCCGCGAAAACGCGCGTTTTCGATCGGAGTGTCGGGTGCGTGAGATCATTTTGAGCGTTCCTGCCGAACGGCTCGACGAGGTGCCCGTCTGAGGTTCCACTGGATTCGGATCTCTGAAACGAGAAAGGGAAGGCGAGAAATATTCAGAGAGATTCGTAGATGAACGAGCAGCCCTTTGGCTCCTGCTGCTGCTGCTGCTCGTTCTTCTGATGCCGCGGTCAATTAGTTCGAGGTCCTGTGGGTTGAAGCCATCTTCCAGATGTTCGGCTGTGAGAATACCAGGCTAAATATTGAGGCGTGGCGTTCGTGCCGTGGGCTGGCTATCTCCCTTGTCGTCTACGTTCGCGTCAGTCGCTCGTTCCATCGGCGGTAGATTTCGCACAAGCGCAATTTGTTGACGAATTCTCCGGCTGAGTGAGTGGTTGAACGACTCTCTTTGCGGCGGAACAACACCAACGAGTTCCACGATGGCAACAATAACGAGATCCGCTTCCACGGTTGCTTCTGTTCGCGGGTGTGTTAGTAAACTGGAACAGAAGCTGCGAGAGCCAGGCCATTATCCCGCGCTCCATCGTAACCGCCTTGAACGACTTCGGCGGCACCGACGACGAGGAAGCTAATTGCAGCGAGCCCGAGCTCTCCTCTGAAAATGGTGGGAGCTGTAATTGTTGTTGCTGTTGTTGCCACCGCCTCCGCAGCCTCAACTCGCTGTCCTCTGGCGGCTTCGCGGACCAATCCCCTGGGTTGGTCTGTCGGTCGGGCGGGCGGGTGCTTGCTTCCTCGCTCGCTGAATGCATGGATACCGGTAGACATGCGAACTCGTGAGCCGCATGAGGTTGCCGGGAAATGTTCATAAATTGTATGATCCTTATTTGGCCAGGTATTCCTCAGCTCGAAGAATATTTTCGTCGATTTGCCACAAGAAGATACCGGAGCGCAGCAAAAGAACAAAGCCGAGTAGGGATCAAGGCATAATGGGTGGAAGTTTCGCGTGCGACAACAATTGTCTGCGCATTGCGCATGAAAACGGGTTCCGGTCAAGAAGTCATAGGCCCATTCTGTGGCGGCCAAGTCTCGACTCCGGGACGGCTTATGGCCGATTTGCGCGATATGGAAATTGAACTTTTAGTCGGTGCTCAACTTATTCCCCCATTTGAATGGGTCTCGCTGCTTCAAGACTTTAGGGTCGCGTCGGCTTTCCCGTATTACGTCGTATATTTTATTTACTCATTCATTCCTTCACTCATTGTTCCGTTCCGGTGAGCACGAGGTGACCTGTGAACTCTCATATCGATCTGTTCCTTTGTTTGCAGGTAAGTTCTCTCCGTCAAGTTCATCGTCTCCCGCTTCGTTCAACTCCGAAAACCAAAACCACGATGTCGATGTTCTGAGCCATTTCGAAGGTACGATCACATCGAAAATCTTCTCGAATTCCGTTCCGTTGTGAATCCGCCCACTGTGGTTTCCCCCTCGCGGTGGATCTGTTTGTCTTTCCGTCTGTTTTTCTGTCTGTCTGTCCGTCCGGCCGTCCGTCCATCCGTTTGGATATCTGTGCGTATTCCGTCCGATCGTCTCTCCGTTTCCTGTTAGTCCGCAATCTCGTTCTTCCCATCGGATAGTTCACGAATTAGCACTCATTAGCATCTCAGTAGCGGTGACACCGAGTCCTGTGGATTCTGTGCGGAGTCGTTTGCAGGGATTCCGCATGCAAGATCCGGGGATTCCGTGCGAGCGTCTGACTGATAGGCCCCAAGAGATCCGTGTCAGATACAAGAGCCATCGGCTTCGACGTCAGTTCGGCGGCGTCTTTTGAAGCCGTCTCGTTCACGAGTCCTGCCGAGAAATGAGGTTCCGTTACTAGTTGACGCCTTCGTGAGCCAATTAGGTGAAGGGAGGGCTCGCCGCCATCGGTTCGGCTGCGTACAGAGTCGAGTCGGATTGGAATTGTGTACAACGTGAATCGTATTCCTTTGACGTCCGCCAACGCTGCGACGTCGGACACTGAGAAGGCGACGATGTTGTTGTCATTGACGTGACTTCGAGGCACGCTGTCTCGGATCGTATGCCGCGGTCGTGTTGAAAAGATCGCATTGTTTGACGGGTGTCTGCTGCGGTGCGTGCAGATAGATCGGGGTGTCGTTGCTGCTCTCGCATCGTCGGACGGATTGACGCATAGCCGGGCGGACTGCCGGACGGACGGGCCTCGTCGACAAATCCATTCTCGTCCATCATCCAATACAGAAAGCCGATGCGAAATGAGTACAAATTACTCATCAGCGAACAGACGCTGCGAGACACCCGAGACAATGAATGATCTCACCAGTGGCGCATTCATTTGCTGTGTTACCATTAATACAACAACCGATGCTGGGCGCAGGGCTCGTCTGACGGACAAGCGAGCGTCGTAGTCCACATCTTTGCGCATAAGCAGGAGCATCGGGAGTGACGGAAGCATCGGAAGACGAATCCGAGCATGTCTTAGAACGAGAACAACCTTCCTTCTCTTGGGCTGCTCGTTCAGGATTCCCAAGTCTGGGTTTTTCCTCCTTCAGAACCTGGGGTGAACGTCTTCTCGAAAGCCCAAGTTATGACGCTCTTTCGCAAGATGTTCGCAGGTCGACTGACAGAGACCCAGTGGGCAGCGGCTCATAATGCTGTCTATGATTTACGCTGATCCTCATTTATGAAGCGTGCTCCATAAACTTGTGTTCGGCTTGCCCTCTCGCTCCGACAGCGCCCACAGACGAGCCGACAAACAGGCTGGCGGGCGGGCGGACGGGCGTTCTGACCGACTGACGAGCGATCACCTACGAATCCCGCAGCACTTCCAACATAAAGTCTCTCTCAGCTGTCGACGTTGCGAATAAAACCTATTTATTTTCGACGCTCCAACTTCGGCAGTTCCTGGGGAAATCGAATCGTACACGGCCGCGGATGGGGAGCGTTCACGACAACACTCAGATATCGCTGGCTTGATCACCTTGCTGCTCTGTTGCGTCGAGGCTCGACGGTGATGGCCGCCGCCGCCGCCGCCGCCGAGTTGATGTTCATGATGAGGACGAAGCCGCTTGTGATGAAGATAATCTTGTGGGCGGTAATAGTGATGATCTATCGTGAGTTCCACCATCTAATTGAATTACTACTCATGCCTGCTTGCGGCTGGCGACGTGCGCCGGATACCCCTGCGTCGGTGGAGCTCCGTCGTCCTAATGCCCTCCTGTCCGTCCGTTAGCTCGGTCTCATTCGCTAAATGCATTGCTAATGTTACACAGCATTGTCCCCCTGTGCTGCACGACAACGTCCTTCGGAATCAGTCACGGAAAGCTGCGACTCTGTTTGGAGTGAGCAAGCCAGCCAGCCAGCCAGCCAGCAGGTGGAAGGGCTCACTCACTCAGAGTTTATTCGAGGAGTCGTATCTCGTCGTAGCTGGCTCGGTCCGGGTGAAATAGACGATTACGCGGTCGAAAAAGCGCTCTGACGGCGAACTCTAACCGTGATTCATAACGACATCGCACAAAGCACTCTTGTCGTCGCTTGAATAGGATGAAATAGAATGGGTAGACGGCTGTTGGTAGGGGCGCGAATCGCTCGCTGCCCTCCGAATCAATTTGCTATTGACGAGAGAGATTGAAGCGAGTTTGTGATTTTTTGCTAGCCATTGTGAACGAGTCTAGCTCGGATCGAACAAAAAGCGGTCAGACATGCGCGACGACAACTCTCTAACGTCTAACGTGACCCACACGCAAGCGGGGATGTGCAAAGCAAAGAAGCGGAAAATGAGGGTCTCGAGAGAGCGCGGTGTCGACGACGACGTCGGGAAGGAGGAGGTACAACAGTCAGGACAACAACTAGACAGAGATAATGAACAGCAGTAAGTCAGTGCGTTAGCCGTGGCGGAGGAGCCGCCGAGCAAGCCAACATGGCGGCGTCGGCGGGGATGGGTGGTCCCGTATACTGCCTGCTGCTCCGTGGGAGGCGCAAGATAGCCCTTGGCTTCTGAGAAAGGATCCTCGCTCTCCTTTTTGCTCCTGAGCCCGCCAGCGAGCCAGCCGGCCGGACGGTGCCCACGGAAGAACCCACCAGTCAGCCGCTGCGGTGCCGTCGTCGTTATTCCCGGGGAGACGATCGCTCGGGAACTTCTCGGAGCCTCGGGATCGATGTCACAGCAATGAGTTCAGCCCTTCCTTGTCCTTACCCATCAGCGGCTCGCTCGATTCCCGCTCTGTACGATAATCGGAATATCGACTGCCGTCCATTTCTTGCGCCTCCCTGGATGGATTAATACAGGCGTCCGCTTCAGTTCGTTGAGAGCATGCTGCACTCAAAATTGATATCCATTTCGGTATTCTGATCCTATGAGAGGAATATACTCGGGATCCACGGCTCGAGCCCGGGTCGAGTCGGGATCTGACTCGCGCTCAGAACCAAGCCGAGAGTCCGATCCCGTTCCGTTTCGTGATTATGCTCGAATATGAGTATCCGAGCGACTAAAACGATCGACCGAAAAACAATCGTACCCAGCGGCGTGAAATTACTCCAAAGTTCGCGCGCGTTTGATGCGCTCCACAATGGAATTTCTATCAGTCCGCCACGGGAGCACCGGTTCGTCTCCGCCTATCCAAGCGCGTGTTAGGCAATCCCCCTCCGAGTCGACTATTCGCTTACACGCTCACGCACTTTACCAATCGCTTCATTGAATGATAGCCGATTCTGAGAGAAATAATTCCGATTCGGATCTCGCGTGAAAGCCACTCGACTCAGTGACTGAACCGCCGACGACCGACCTACCGACCGACCGCAGTCTATGTGTAACCGAGTGCGCTCGATTCGTGGCTTGATCTGTGTCGGATGATCCCATCGTGGAACGAAGTACGTTCTATTATGGAATGATGCCGCGGTCGGTCCCCGAGAACTATGGAAACTCCGGCGCAGGTCGATCGCTTTGTTCCGTTGTGATCCCATGAGGCATAAAGCGGCTCCAGTCCGCGTACCGGGGCGATGCTTCCGACGCGCTGTACCTATTCCCATCTCACGTGGGTAGCCCGTCAGGGCCCAGAATGTAAACGAACCGCTCGGTGGGTCGGTGATGCGCTCCCGGCGCTTGTCTCAATGCGAAGCTGTCGGTGGCGCTCCAACGCCGTCCGAAACGGAGGAAGCCGCTGCGAGCCCCGCGAAGAGAGGAGTCGCTATTCCTCTCGACACTGGTCTCTGACTCCACTCCATTGTGAAACGAGCAGCGATAGTATTTTCCGAATGAGCGCACTCATAGTGGCTGTCGACGCGTTGCTGAAGAATCGCTGAACACATATACACATCACATGAGAGGGGGGTAAACCTCCTACCTAGTGCCTCCCACCGCCAGCCCCTCAGAAAGTCGGAGCCGTGCAGTCATGCACTTGATTCCCGAAGCCGCCACCTATGTGCGGATTCAATTCAGGGGAACACCTGAACTATTGTCCCGGTTTTTTGTACATTTGGTCACACACATCGTTGCTCCAGCCATGTTCCGCTAAACGCTGCCTGCGAGATTGAGTCATGGCCGATGCGCGAAACTATCGGGGATATTTCTCTCTGAAATTCGTGTGGACTCATCGGCCCGCAGCCGGGAGAAACAGCAAATGAAAGGCTCCGAGCAATATACGCTCGTGTTTGTTCGGCGAGGTCTTGAGAATTCCAATGCAATAAACACCCGCTTTCCATCCGGTTTCACTCCTTCGTTAGCCTTCCTTGTGTGTGGCGGGAGCACGTGCTGACACGACCTGAGGAACAGCCGAAGACGGTTACCATAGCGATTTAGATGGAAGGAAGCAAAGCAGCAAGTAAACGGTCCTAGCGGACGAGCATGCATGCTTGCCTTCCTGCCTTCCTGCCGGAAGTGTCGCTCACCGTGCCGAATGCGTCGTTCTCCTGGGAGCAGCAGCACCAGCAGGAGAACGAAGGGAAACACAAACACGCACTTACAGGCCCAGTTGTGGGGTCTTTCTCGGTGAACGCACTTGCTGGCTCGGCTGGGGGCGTTTCCCCCAACCACTCGACTGTGCGACAAATTATGACCGAGCTGGGCGGCTGAACTGAAGCTGACTAACACCCCGTTGGAATGCGTACTCCATTTCTCTCGCTTGTCATCTCATACGAAACGTGGGGTAGTCGCACTGTGATCTCGAGTGGAAGCCCATCGTCGAGGTCTGTTTGCCTGAGACGGTCTGCTGACAGCGACAGAAGTCGAGGTGGAGACCTGAGAATCGAAAGGATCCGGATACTAAGCTCAGCGTGCCGAAGGAACCGGGGCAAAGTCGGACCACTCGAGGTCAGACATGTTCTCTGGGGATGTATAATAACCCAGATATTAGGCGATCAATGGTGAGTTTCGGTCTGGACAACTGATAATTGGCCTCATCGGAGTCTCGGACTCCGTCCGGTCGATAATTTAACTGCTCCGGACGATTAGAGACCAGCGACCAGACGGGGAAATCACGCGGCGCTACAACGCGATGTGGAGGTGTAATGAGGGATATAACAGGAAGCTTATTGGAGTCCTCGGGGGGTCGTCGTCAGTTGGAAGCCGCTTACGTCGAGAGCTTGGTCGAGCGGCTGATTGAGCAATTCTGAACTACGATAACGCTGCGGACCACAGTGGACGTCACGACCAATCGACGACCAAACGAACCAGCCCGAGCGGTGGCAATACCCCGCCAGCGAATCGCCGTTCTCGAAAGCGACATCGCTGCGTGGCACTATTTCGACAAAGCCCGAGCGCATAGCTCGAAGATAATGGAAATTTGAGGAACGCAGAATCACGTGGGTGGTTTCAGTTAGAATGTACGACGACGTTGAACGAAGCAACCGACGGACGGACGAACGAGCGGACCAACCAACCTACCGGCGGAGCCTGATGAAGTCGTCATCCGGTGAAGGCGCGAAGACTTGCGCCTCGCTATATTACCGTAAATCAGGACTGCTGCTCACGAATCGGGCGCGTCTCGCGGCCCCAGAAGCGTGGCCGCGGTAAAAACTTAAATAAAACATCCAGCAAACCGAAATCGGCGATCGCCAGCATCGCGGGTTCCCGTAACCGGATGGATGTCCCTGAGCCTATGCGAACTCGGAATCTCCAAGACTCGGAGCCCGAGCAGGGTCGGGTGAATCATCGGATGAGATTCTGTTCTCGCTTCTTGTCCGAGATCCGATTCCATAATCCGATAGCGCCGCATTACTGCGGCTCGGGACTGGGTGGTTCCTGGTGATGGCTGGCGCTTGATGGCGGGCTACAAGACCAAACCCACGCAATCGTTCAATGGGACGCTGTTTTAATCAAGTCCGGTAATTATTCGGCGATTCATCAAGTCGGTGCCTTACGGAAACCACCGCTTGACCACCATTGTATGTACCGGTCAATTTCGCTCAATTTCGCCCGTGCTTGATTTTTTTTTCTGCTCAGGAGGGAGTCTCTCCGACAGCACCGCGTGCGGGAACTTCTGTCGCTCAAACGTTCACAAACCGATGACGAAAAGGATCCCGTGATCATTGAGGCTGTCGGCGAAGCGACGGTGGTAGCGGTAACGTGGTCGTGACCGTCGTGCTTGCTAACAGTTGGAAGCACGTGCGTCGTAAGCTGCCTAGACATCATAATAATTCTCTGACGGGGCCGTCAACGAAATTTACGCTTCCAGTGAGAACGTCGTCATCATTACGCGTCGCAGTCGGAGGTTCGGCTCCCGAGGGCCGTTATGTGCTCCTCTGCGAGATTCGCTTCTCGCAGAGGTTGCGCAACGTGCTCACGCGGCCGGCCGTTCGCTCGCGGGCCGAATTCAGCGTTTGGCTCGAAATTCGCGCATCGCTTACGCTGCTCGTTGCCCACCGGTCAGACGGAGTTCGCCGTATGCGAAACTACACGGGCTCTCCGCGGAAGAGAGAGACAAATAGCCAAGATAAACGGGACGATATAGGAACCTCACGTCCTCGAAGCGGGTCGGCTGTATTATGCCTTGGTGCCTTATCACCTGCCCCTCCCTCTCCCTGAATGCTACCTCCGTCTCCTCGCAGGCCTTGAGCTACGTACGTTTTCCCGGGTGTCCCATACTTACGGCGGCGTAGACCCGACCGACGTAGGGCCAAATTAATGTCAACTCTTCCGCACCGCCTCTCTGCCTCGCTGCAGTGAGCGGTGTTAAATGGTCCCTCACGACAAGCTGAATGTCATACGACTCTGACATTTCGTAGTTGTCACCGGAGGCGTCGCTGAAAATGACGATGAATACGCGGCCTGCCGCCAGCCACGTATACGACAGCGGCCAACAAACGACCACGCCCACGACGCCAACTAAGATCAGTCATACAGTGCGCGCGGAGACTGGCGATGATGACGCCAAGTTCGCTGGACGAATTCCGTCTAATTAGCTGAAACTCCCTTTCCGAGAGGATTTCCAGCGAACAGCCACGATTAACGGCGCAGCCGTCCACGACGAGCTGTTTCACGAAACTGTCCTGGATTTGTTTCTCGATGACAGACCGCGGACGCTCTCTACCTCAAGCAGAGTAAACGAGCGTTCCCCGCAACGACAACTTGTACAAGAGGAACAGCATTCGCTAAGGCAACACATATGGCACGGCCGTGTCGTCACGATTACCGTAGTACCTATAAGTGGTGTGTAAATGTTGTATTAAAGCACATGCGCTACTGGACCCATGGACGGCTATCAGCTTTCTTGCCTGTTCGCCGGTGGCGGCGGCTAAACCGGGAGCGAAGAGAGACAGGGAGTGTCGGTGAGCGAACAAGAGGAAGAGAGAGGGGATGAGTGGCTGTGTGAATCTGATAGAGGGGCCGCGAACTCAAAATGTTCATGATCCGCCGACTGGTGTCTCCTGTACTGCTGCTGCACGCCTGTCGCGCTCACATTATGTGACAAATAGAGCTGCTGTTTGAATCACTCACTCTTCGCTCTTTCATGAGCAAGCGACCGACCGACCGACGGACCGATCGGGCGACCGGGGAAACACGGACCGACCGACAAACAGACAGACAGAGGAACTGGTGTCGCTAGACCAAGCGGTTAGGCGTCTATGGAGGCGACTTGTTGTCAAGCTCGTCATGAGATCAAATCTCTCATCGCTTGAAGAGGGGGAAACCGTACGACTCAGCTCCAAGGGAGCCGCTCGGCTCCCGGAGGGTTTTCCTGGTCAGCGACTGAGGCCACTGGTCACGCTCACGTGAGAGACAATCCGAGACCGAGACCCGTCATTGTTCGTTCCGATTCCACATGTGACGACAATTACTGCTGCTGTTGTAGGCTATTCGTGATCTTCTTCCCGTTCGAAAGGAAAAGGGAAAAACTGCGAGAAAAAAAAAGGATTCTCAGATGCATGGAAAATAACATCTAACCTCGCTTCGTCTCCATTTCAGAAGGAGTCCGGGACCCGAACGGAATGTACGGAAGCAGATCATCTCAACCGAAGAAGAAGCGAAAGTCCCGAACTGCGTTTACGAATCATCAGATATTCGAGTTGGAAAAACGGTTCCTCTACCAGAAGTATTTGTCGCCAGCGGATCGAGACGAAATCGCGCTTTCGCTAGGCTTGACAAACGCTCAGGTTATCACGTGGTTCCAGAATAGGCGCGCCAAGCTGAAGAGGGACATGGAGGAGCTGAAGAAAGACATGGATGCGGCGAAGATGCACTCTCTGCATAAAAGCCTCCTCGAGAACATTCAAGAAATGGGCTGCAATTTCAGTAAGGAGGCCCTCCACCAGGCAGCAGCAGTTGCCTCGGCAGTGGCACAAGCGCAGGCCCAAGCTGCGCAACAACACGGGCACCCGGCGTCCCCCGCACTCGTGGGGGGACATCTGCAGGTGCCCGGCGCAGTTCCGGTTTCCCTTCGAGCAGCTGCGGTCGCGGCAGCAGCAGCCGAAGCGGATCAGAGAGCCGTCAATTCACCGCACTCCCTACACGACGTAAAAGTCAAAGTCAGCCAGTCTCCTCCCCGACCCTAGGCGGTTTGCAGCAGTCTACCTTTAGACTCAGATCAGTTCGAGTTCAATCCTCATCAAGAAGAAGAACCAGAAAACCCGGTGCGTGAATGTGTGTGCGAGCACTCTTCGAACACTGATCACCTCGAAATTCGCTGACCACCAATCATCAGTGACTTCATCGGAACGTGTCCTCAACGGATTAAGAAACCAACAGAACACATTCAGACATTCATCTCCACGGACGCCATCGTCGGAATTCTTTTCATCGGCTTGTTGGTGCGTGAGGCTTTTCCACGTCGTCGGAAACGCATCGATGGATCAAAGGCTTTTCATCAAGGCCTTTCTCCCATTCAAGGGCGGAAGAACGAGTCGGAGAGCGATTCTGCAAATTCTAGGTTTCTAATCCGGCGACGTCAGCCGTGATTCGGTGATCCCGGTTCCACCCTGTACATAGTCTGTGTATCTTGACTTGACATAATGAGAGCTCGTGTCTTGAGAGTAGTCGAAAGACGGAAACATTTCGAAGGATCGGAATGATCTGTAACAGTTCGGTGTAAATGCTGACTAATCGGACGAGAATGAATAGCAGGTCGCTTTTGCCTCTTGCTCACTGTAAATCCTAGAAATGTCCTGGGCTACTACTATACGGGATGTCCGGGACGCGCGCACAGTACTCAAGGCCGATCGAGCAGACAGGGATGGATCCTTGATGTTTTCCCTGTAGAGGAGAAACTGGTGACAAATTGAACGCTCTGACCGAGATGACGTACAACGGTGTAAATTCATGATTGAAAAAAGACTTCCCATATTCACGCAGCCGTCGATTCGATTCACTCAGACGGCATCCATCCAGCTGCTTGCCAAATATTTTTTTTATGATATTTTTCTTCTTGTCGTCCCGACGACTCGCGACGTGGAAACGATGGCGAAGCTGGAATTTGTTTGGATAGATTTTCCCTGCCACTTTCGCACGTTTGTTCGTGTTTGTTCGTTCTGACTGATTCTCTATGGGCTGTGTGCGATCGTTTTGCAAACAACGAAAATGATCTGAGCACGAAAGTCAAATTTGTCTTCTTCAGCTAAATTTCTTCTCCGTTTCTCTCATTCCCTGTGTCTGTCTTCCATCTTCTTCCTCAATGTATCCATTGTCGCCATTGTCGTTCCAGTTGTCGTGGAGTCGGAGAGAGTGTTGATTTCCGTCATCGACAACCACGACGGGCGATCTTTAGGATTATGATTGAGGAGGAGGAGCAGCAGCAGCGGAGGAACATTCCTCTCGTTTATCTCTATTGCCATCAGTGCGCGATAGTGGTAAGCGTGAGCGTTGGCCAGCAAGAGAGTAATCGTAATGGCTGGCCACAACTTCGGCACTTCGCCACTTCAGAAGACGAACAAGCTGCAACCGAAGAGAAGCATCGGTAGCGGCTGCAAAGAAGGAGAACGAACGAACGAGCAGCGGGTCGTCGCCGGCTGGCTGGCTCGTTCATCCGTCTATCCATCCGAGCATTCATCGAATCGAAATGTCGTCGTCATCGTTCAGACGTTTCCACCGATTTCCCCACGAGCACCGTCGTTATTTCTCTTGCGGGCTTCCTGCGGCTAGAACGAGCAGTGGATTCGGCATCCACGACTTCGGATAGCGTTTTCGATGATGTCTGGATGAAAAAGGAAACCGAACGCTTCTCTCTCTCCCTCGTCATTCGTCGCCGTTGCGTGTAAATGACGTTTTCTGTGGCTCTCTCGGTCTGCCCGCCTGGGTCAGGAAGCTCCTCAGTCTGTGAGTCAGTCAGTCAGTCGTCGATCGTTCCTTGCTCACTCACTCACTGTTGTTGGTGTTGTCTCTGCTGCTGCTGCTACCCATCTACACAACAACAACACCACAAGCAGCCGCCGCAGCATCAACAGCCACACATTGGCTGGGCGGGTTGGTTTGTTGCTCTCTTTCTCATTCTTTCGGCTCGCTCACCATCCATCCAGTTGGTTGTGTTTCGGAGGCCCCAGAACGACGAGCGTCCGCCCCTCCGATGCATCTTCGACGACGACGACGCCACCAACGACTGCTGCCGCTGTTTTGGTGGCGGCACTTCGTTCAAAAAGCCAAATGTTCGCCCGTTATTAGCGACGGCAGCGACGGCGGCACCGACTACGTTGACGACGACGATGAGCAATGGCGGCCACGACGGCGGCGGCAACCTTCTTCTCCTAAATGGTTCGACGCCTTTTTCGCTTCTACGCCCCGTAGTTGCCAGATGGCGCACGACAGATATCGCATTCTCATAACACCTTGGCATGGGGATGCTGCCGTCGTCGTTTTCGGTCGGATGGATCCGGCCGGCCATGTTCACAATTAGGCTGATGATGCCGCTTGTTCCGCGTGACAAGCATGCACTGATTTGTCGTCAGGAACTCGCTCCCATCGAACACTCCTTTGTTTCATCCGCGTGAGGGGAAAATTTCCCCCCGGAACATGAGCCTTCGGGCCCTCGGAATTTCGCCCATTCTCTGATCTTCGACATCAATCTGACCCTTCTGCTTCCCGTCTGTACGTCGTCGTGGGCCCTAGCGATTCGGACATGATGAGGACCCCTCAAGCCCTGAGAACTGTGCGCGTGAACTCGGACCCGTAGAAAGTTTGTAGATAAACACCAAGCTGGAGAATGGGAGAGAAGTAGTCCGCGGGGTTCGTGAAACATCATACTTAACTTGCTCATCCTCGCAGCGTCGTTAGCGGATGAAAATCAGAAATCGATTGGATTTCATGTAGATGCGAACACAAACATAAGTAGCAGGTACACACGAGGATTTCCAGGAGGCGAACTCTGGGTTCCGAACAGCGAACTTCGAAAGTCTGGAACCAGAGTGCAGCCGGTATATTTAGCCGGATTCTCCTTCACTGAATCTCAAGGTGCTCTGTCATCCGCTATTTAAGCAATTTTCCCAACGATTGAAGAAAATCATATCACGATGATTCCCATTGTCCAATATTCATGAACACGTCCAGATTTAAGGAGCAAGCTACCAAAAAGTTAGACAAACGCGCCATTTTCATCCAGCCAGACGAATTCGTTGTCTCGTAAGATGTCAAAATTTTATTCGGGCATCGTGCTGTCGGATGAAATAGGCTCGAAGCTCAAGTGCAATCATCTGGAGAGATAACTTGCTCCATTATTTCTCCCTACTGGTTCCTACGGAGAGAGACCGCCCACTTGCACCAAACCTCTTGATCATAGCTCGTCGATCGACAGAATCATGAATGAACAATCGGGACGGCGTGAAGTGTTCCCACGATTCGGCGAGGAGTCGATCGGATTCTGTGGATAGATAGAATCGAAGCGAAGTGCCAGGGTTGCCGAATGATTCTGGTGCTTGACGTCGAACAAACATTGGCAATTTTCAAGTTCCTACGACACCGATTCCTCCCTACCGATTCATTCCCGAGCGTGGCTTCCCACCGATCTTCATTACGACGCAGCCCACCCAGCTCGGATATCCGTCACCCGAAATGAATACCTTATCGAATAATCGAGATCCTGTGCCGCACTGTCACCTTTAGAAATGGGGCGATCTGAGAATTCCGACCATCGGATGGAATACTTGAGTCGAAGGAACGGCGTGGATGCTTTTATCACCCGGCATGAGTAAATGTTGCCAGCCGCGGTGCTCGACCCCAATCTTGACCGTTTGGGCGCTATCGGCACGCGATGAGGTGGATGACCAGTTAAATCGATCCCGAGAACTAGGTTCAAGCACGGTTCAATTTTCCTTTCTGTGATATAAATATATATATATAAACCTAAATAATCGAATCACGATTGAGATCGAAAGTATTCGATTGATCGAACAGACACCCAAACATACCCGTGCGGCTCCCCATCAAGCTTTAAAGACAAGATGGCAGGTTTTCGTCGGATGGAAGCGCAACAGAACAAGCGGCGACATTCGAGGAACGCCTAAGCGATGCAGATATTTTGTCCAAGAGAAAAGATTGGGAAATGTCCCGAAGTTGCGTTTCCCTACGACGAAGAAGGCAGTCGGAGCCGATGCGGGGTTTGCTGTAAAAAAAACTCAAGGAATTATCGAAACATCATCAATATTAATATCATTTTTATCGTCATAACGATGATTTTCGCGACTATTATCATATGATTATTATTGCTGAGCATTACGCGCGCTGAATCGATACAGAAGTGATGATCTACGACCGACACATGAGGTCGTAGAACCTGTATGCTGGAATAAATGTTCAATGTACCAGAGATGTAATAACTTGTTCTTCTTTGATGAGACGGAAGTTCGTCACGATCCTGCCGGTGGATCAGGAATTAGGATCCATGAGATAATATTTGGTCTCGCTCTCTGTCAGTGAAGTCAACTCGGACAGCAGTCGAGCTTCGACTCCAACATGAACCGTACTCCACGATTCGAAGCTTTGCTGCTTCTCCATGAACTCATGGATCGGCATCGATCTTTTATCCACTCATGATCCCCGATCACTCATCAATCGCATCATGGAGTCCATTCCGCTCCCTTCACAATTCACAATCAATCTGGTGTCAGACTGGCAGACAAGCGAAACACGCCGGCCGCGAAATAGGCTATAGGGCTCTTCACTCCCGTAACGTAGTTGATCCGATTCGTCACAGCCGGGGGCCCTAACACCTCGAGAGTGCCTAACACATACACACTCAGTCAGCAGTAGAGGTGCGTTCTCTGATGATGACTATCACATGGAGAGCGCTCACCCGCTTGTCGACTCATCCCCTGCTCTGTCTGCAGCACACTCGAGAACGACCCCGAGCGGCGTAGAGCTCGAATTCATAATGAATCCGCGTGCTCTGGAGTCTGACCAATGCAGGACAGCTGTTACTATCGTCAGATGCTCACTGTCTCTACTAAATTCAATTTATTCTCTATCAGGCGCAAAATGGGGGGCCATCGATCACAAGTCGAAGCCTTCAATGAATTGAATGAAACCTCGGTGGAATTTCGTTTCCGGTCAGTAGGAAAAGCTCCTAAAGATG